AGACAAAATATATTCAAAAATGCATCATCTTGGCTCTGATGTGGTTTTGTCTCCTTGTCTGTAGTCACCACTGTGTGGTCGCAAGCAACGTTGCACCCACAGCACTCTCTGATTGGTCACGTCATAAGTAATAAACAACTAGTGCTTCCATTTTTCTAGGACCTGGTCGTGGAAGCAGGTCATTGAAGATGTCCCTCAACCCAGCAGCGTCGTCCAGCTCCTCCTGGAGGATCCCAAGGTGTTGCCAGGCCAGATGAAAGATGTCAAATTTTAGTTCTACCCCAGGGTGTCCTCCCAGTGCCTGGAAAACTTCCAAAGGAAGTAGCCAAGGATGCGTCCTAATCAGATGCCGGAACCACCTCAAGTGGCTCCATTTAATGGTCTGTGAAGAGGTCACATATGAGGATATCCAACATCACAGTTTGTGGTGTGTCATCATCCTGTCTTGCTTTTGTTGTTCGTGTACAACAGATCTGCTAATTCATATTTATGTTCAGCAGGAAATCACACCGCTCTGTTACCAAACTAGCACACATTGACTGACTGTGTGCATTTGTTGCTGAGGGTTGACCATGCGAGGTGCGTCAGAAAAGTTCCAGGACTGGTGTCACAAAAGATCTATTTCAAACCCAAACTACAAACTACCAGTTTTCCCCTCCAGACCATCAACCAGCACAAAGAGATCCTGCAGCGTTTGCTTCGTTCAGAAGAGGCAGAGTTGTGTCAGGAGCAGTGGAGGCTGCTTCACCATGACAACCTGCTCACAGCGCCCTGAGCATCCCACAGGTCCTGGCTGAGAAGAACATCTCTGTGCTGGAGCAACCTCCCTACTCACCCCACCTGGCTCCGTGGGATTGGTTCCTCTTCCCCAAGCTCAAGGGGGTCATCAAGGGGACCCGTTTAGAAGACGTGGACGACATCAAGATGACAACAGAGCTGAGAGGATCCTGGAAGAATCCTTCCAGGAGTTGCATGGCGGCATGAAGAGAAGGCTGAAGAAGGGTGTCAGATTCCAGGGGGATTACTTGGAAGGGGAACACTGGTAGGATGCTGCAGGATCTCTTTGTGCTGGTTGATGGTCTGAAGGAGAAAACTGGTAGTTTGTAGTTTGGGTTTGAAATCTATCTTTTGTGACACCAGTCCTGGAACTTTCCTGACACACCTCATGTATTAGTTGATTATCAAATCTGATATTCAGCATTCTTCTAATTATCTGTATCATTTCTAGTATTTTTTAGAGATATTTTTTAAGGGCCTTTATTGTGATTATTGCTGAAGAGAGACGGGGAAGGTGGGACAACGACATGCAGTAAATCTTGCCATGGGTCAGAATCGACCCGTGGCCACTGATGTGGGGATTTCCAGCCCCAGTTCATGAGAGTTTAACCATGTGAGCTGTGTATCTTGGCTCTAAAAAGCAAGTATTGATCTCCTTAGTTACCCTTAAGTAAACATTTTGTTCAAACCCTAATATGTCCACATACAACCAGCACCGATACCTAAAGTCAGGGACCAGCAGAGTGAAGCGACGCTCCTCAGCCCGGAGAACACGTAACATCCAAGGTGCAGCAGGCTGGTCCAGCAAAAGGGCTGTTTAGCTGTTGATGGATGTTGTTGCGACACTGTTTCAGGGGTCACTGCAGAGGTGCTGCCTCTCCCTTGAACCAATTAAGCAATGGTGAAATGAAGGACAATGAGACGTCGCACCTTCCTGCCCTGAGTTGAATTTGTTTCAGTCGCACTCGAGGGTTTCTGCTGGGGCCATTTAAGGTTCTCTTTCATTGCCATTGAAAGCAGATAAGAAAAGGCTGCCCTCTTCACACCCTCAGACTCATCCACTCCTGCTTATCCTTGAAGATAAATGGAAACTACAGCAAGTTGTGCGCACGACGGATTACTGAAGTGACCATAAGTCTGCCGCGTACGTGCAAAGTATCCGAGCGGCTCGCTTGATTATCACACAAATGCAAATTACGGCTGCAAATCTGAATAAAGGCACAATTTGGTAGAAAGGATATGAGAATAATGACAATAATAACAGTAATTTGGTTTATATAACTGCAAATAGGGTGTTACAAAACATCTGTGTCTGCTCTCATGTAACAAAGCCACACTCAATGTGTCGCAAACATTTTTTGAAAATGGACGAAGTTAATGCTCCTCAACAATTTGTGCATCAGCTTTGATTAACCCAGACGGTGTAAACAAAGCAGAGAGAAGCGAAGCAGACAGCCTCTGCTGCTGCGAGCGTGTTAGACGTTTGTCTAGACTGTAAGCAAGATCCTTCCCGTCATTGTTGGTTGGCATTGAGGGGCTGCAAAACAGGAAATAATCTCTCAGGGAAAACATACAGCTCTACTCATTAGAAAGTCAAACACACAAAATGCAGCATTTGTTTGGGCGCTTAAAAACTAAAGTGACATGCGTTTAAATTCTATTAGAAATGTTTTACTTCATCATGTATCAGCCAGGTTAATGCATTATTTCTTTATTTTCCTTTGTCCTGCACCCACTGAATGCCTTTTGCTTCTTAAATACTGAACAGATTGTCAAAGATGAAGTCCGTCATTATGCCAGTTTAGCAGAATGAAGACTAATATAGAATCTTAATCCTTAAAGGTCCTTCATTTGCTCACCCATATGGGCTTTAAACTTATTCATTTTCATTACTGATGCGGGGTGTCAGTGATTCAGGGTTTAGATTTCTGGATCAGTTCAGGTCATTGTTCATTGCAGGAGGTAACCATTAGGACGATAAGTCATGTCCTCATGACGGAGGGCAGAGGGTGTCCTGAACGGTCTTCTTGCGCCATCTTGTGGACACACTGTTCAGCTTTAATCTTACTGTGTGCTTTACTTTCTACCCTTAAAAGTATGTTTTTTAAAACTGTCCAAAATGTTCTGTTTCTCCTCCTGACTTAGTTCAGATCAGACTCTCAGCAGATTCAGATTTATTTACCATTACTGCACAGAACAACTAGTACGCACAGCAAATAACTAGATGTCTTTGTTTTACTTTAAATATTGAATATTATTTCCTTTTTCTGACAATGAGAATCCAAAGATAATTCTTGAAAAACACAAACAGACCAGAAACAGTTGATAATCATCTACAGCACCTTAATATTTTTCTTTTGCAATAAATAAAATCCCTCCTCCTCCTTCTGAAAACTGTGATAATTTATACACTCAGTACTTGTTGGGGCTCCTTTACCAGGAATCACAGCATCAATGGAGGCGCTGCTGACGTGTTGTTGACGACTGGGTCGATTCGAGGGCTGCCTTCAGCTCGTCGGTGTTTTTAGGTCGAGTGTTTCTCATCTTCATCTTGACAGAACACCTTATGGGGCTATACGGGGTTCAGGTGAGTTGTCTGGCCGATCAAGCACAGTAATATCATGATCAGTCAATCATTTTGGTTGTGGGCAGGTGCTACGTCCTGCTGGAAAAAGGAAATCAACATCTCCATAGAGTTTGTCAGCAGATGGAATCATGAAGTCTCTAAAATCTCCTGCGTTGACTTTGGACATTTTGGATGACATGACACCAAAGTTCTGAGTCTCTCCTCTCTTCCTCCAGACTCTAAGACCTTGATCTCCAAATGAAATGCAAAACGTACTTCCATTCGTAAAGAGGACTGAGCCAAGACAAGATCTTCAGATACTGTCTCTGGTTCAGGAGTGGTTTGATATTNTTGACGACTGGGTCGATTCGAGGGCTGCCTTCAGCTCGTCGGTGTTTTTAGGTCGAGTGTTTCTCGTCTTCATCTTGACAGAACACCTTATGGGGTTGTACGAGGTTCAGGTCAGTTGTCTGGCCGATCAAGCACAGTAATATCATGGTCAGTCAATCATTTTGGTTGTGGGCAGGTGCTACGTCCTGCTGGAAAAGGAAATCAACATCTCCATAGAGTTTGTCAGCAGATGGAATCATGAAGTCTCTAAAATCTCCTGCGTTGACTTTGGACATGACACCAGAATAGTTACAGACTGCAGAAACTTTACACTGATTCTGAGCCTCTCCGCCCCTCCTCCAGACTCTAAGACCTTGATTTCCAAATGAAATGCAAAACGTACTTTCATTCGTAAAGAGGACTGAGCCAAGGTTAGATCTTCAGATGCTGTCTCTGGTTCAGGAGTGGTTTGATATTAAAAATGCGACAGACGTAGCGCCCGACCTGAAGACGTGTGCCCGGTGGCTCATGATGCACTGACACAGCCTTAATCGACTTCCCCTAAGTTCCTGGATCTTAAGCAATAACAATCCTCTCCAGACTGCAGTCGTCCCTGTTGCTTGTGCACCTTTTCCATCCACACTTTTCTCCTCCTGTCAACTTTTCATAAATATGATTTAATACAGCACTCTGCAAACAGTCAACCTTTTCAGCATTGACCCTCTGTGGCCTAAACTCATCGTGGAGGGCGTCGATGATCGTCTCCTGGACAACTTTCAAGTCAGCAGTTCTGTGATTCTCCAGGAAATATAAGAGATTCTTTTTTTTATTTATTTGTCACGTGCTTATACAGCATACTGTGGACCTGAGATCAGTGTTCACAGTCCTCAGTTTAGTTCAGTTTCAGTAATTTCCCAGGCCTGGGATAAATAAAGTATTTTTCTATTCTATTCTATTCTACTTATTTGAGTGACTATGTTGTATTTTGCCTTTTTTTTAATGGAGGGGGATGAATACATTTGAAGACGACTGTAGATAGATAGATAGATAGATAGATAGATAGATAGATAGATAGATAGATAGATAGATAGATAGATAGATAGATA